AGTCTGACTCGTTCATGGCTCGAGCGCGAGACCCGGCCTATCTCAAAATAAGTGGGTGGTCTACGGGCTTGATGGGCTGTGGTTTGATATCCACTGCTATTGATTAGACGGCACTATGTAGAATACAGCCTAGAATATGCACTATTTCGATGCTGTATCTAGAAATGAATAATTAAGTGTGAACCAAAATACGAAATTATAATGAAAGTCTATGTATACTTTGTAAGCCCCGGCTTTCACACTCATAGTACACTGACAACTGGCCAGTGGAACGGAATGCGGGAAGCTCTGGTGGAGCCTGACACTCCGCCCCGGTCTGTTTCAACACTATCACCACGGCATCACCGAATTGCTTCCAGCGCTCCCTGTATTTCGCACCTGAGAATGCTCGCAGCTTCTCGCCAACTGTTGCGCGCAAGTCACAGGACCTAATACCGAACCTTTCTGGCTAACAGCCCCACGCCAACCCCTTGTCACAGCCCACCAACGCTTCCATACTGAGCCAGAACACCCCGTGATTAGCGGGCATCATTTGGAATGAGCGGCCAAAACGGTTATGGTAACGGGTATGGCTACTCCGGTTCCGGTCGGAACGCTGCCAATGACGGGGGATACGGTGGAAACAACAACCCTGCGGTAGACGGATACGGTGGACGTGCCGCACCACCAGGCGGAGGTGGACGTTCAGATCGTCGCCCCGGCGGATACGGTGGTTTCTACCCTGACGCGCCTCCGCCTCCGGCGCTATCGCCAGGCCAATCTCCTGCGCCGGGCCAGTCGCCCGAGCGGCGGCGTGATCGAACGGACCGGGGCTGGCAGCAGCCCTCTCCGCAACCGTCTTCGAACCCCTCCTCACACCCCTCCTCGCAAGCCTCTTCGCATCCCTCCTCGCGATCACGCACAAGGAATCAAGAACCAGATAGGAAATACCAGGAAGAACGGTCTAGAGATGCAAATCGGTACGCGGACAACAGGGACCAAAGAGATCAAAGGGACCCGAGAGGCCAAAGAGACCACAGAGACAAGAGAGACCCAAGGGAACAAAGGGACCACAGGAGCCAGAGGAATGCGTCGCCTGTGGTTAACTCGAGCAATGACTCGGGGGAACCCCAGGCCATCGAAAGTATGTCTTTCTCTTTTGACTAGTCCGGCCTGATAGCTAATCCAGCTACCTCCTACAGCTATTCTGCAGTCGATCCAGCGCGATTGGGATTTTATGACTGATGCCGAGTGTGTCCCGGTACACGTTGCTTTGAGTTTGATGGACACGAGTACATTGGGCAAAGCAGATCGTGAACCGGAATTTTTGCATATGTACAATGACATCCAGAAGACATTGAAGGCAATTGTCAATGGTAGGTCCTCTCTGCAGTGGTTAGGACAAGCGTATGCTAAAACTACATGTTACAGAACACCATCAGGGATTCAACAGTTCTATTGGAACATACCACAAAATCCAATCCAATATATCTTCCTCGCAAGCTCGAGTACGCAGCTTGAGACATGCCCTGGATCAGGCCAAAACCGGGTTAATATCGACCAAGCCAGAGTTGAAAGGGCTGGCAACGTCTTCTCAGAACTACGATGATATCGTACAGCTGTTCACTCAGATTGAGGAAATTCAATCCCTTCCCGAGAAGTTGGAATCTCAGATTTCAGATAAGCGCTTCCTTGCAGCTGTGGATGTGCTTCACACTGGTCTCCGAGTTCTACGGCGTTCGGAACTGGAGGATATTGGTGCTTTATCCGATATTCGCGCTTATTTCACAAACCAGGAAACGTCGCTCACAGACATCCTGATCGAAGAGTTGCACGACCATTTGTACCTCAAATCACCCTATTGCTCTGACCGATGGAAAGCACCCACATCTGATGAAAAAGAGGTGCATACATCTAACTTAGCCGGTAGTCGCTCTTGGGAACGGCCTGTGTATAGTTTCCTCGCTAAGTTCGATCCCTTGACGCCTATGGTCGAAGACGCCTCCCGGAACCCGGAGGCAGACACGTTTTCCTATATCCAGTTATTGGTCGAAGCGTTGAACAAGATGGGTCATCTTGACGTCGCGGTTCACAGGATTGAGCAGCGTCTTCCGGTCGAACTGTTTGCTGTGGTGGATAAGACGAACGCAGAGGTCGATACTCGCTATCCTGCGCCAACCAAGAGCTTCTCAGCCCAGGACAACTACAAACAGTCCAGTCTCCCCACCGAGATTATTGAAAAACGGGGCCACGTGCTTTCTGAGTTTTTGTGGGCACTGTATGCCAAGTTTGAGGCAATTGCGGAAGGCCACCGAATTCTTCACGATGTTATTGCGGCCATTGTTGAACGAGAAGGTTTAATCAAAAGCGAGACGCTTTCTGGAGGATTCAAGGAGTTGTGGAAGCTTCTACAAAGCGAGGTAAGATGCCAACGGTTTTGACAGGCATCGCGGATATTAATCTGTTTTTCCAGATACGATCTCTCATGCACGACTATCTTGCAACCGACGGGGACTCTTCTGTTCGGTCTAGATCAGAGGAGAATGATGCTCGACGTCATCTATACACAGGCAACCGCGATAAGAATAAGGTAAGGAAACCAGAGTTTTCATTATTTTCAACTAGCTGACCATTTGCATTGTAGAAAATGTTCAAGTTGTCCGATATCGAGCAAAATTCTGAGATGAAAGCCGAACAAGACGAACTTGATGAAATCCTCAAGTCGTCAGTACCAGGGCTTGTTTCTAAGTCCAGGCAAAAGGCTGCAACAAGCGATACTACGCAATCTAATAAGGGCAACTCGGGAACTGGGCATAAGATTCTGCTCGAGCCAAGTGTCTTCAATATGGGAATCCTTCTTCCTCCCTCTCTATCCTTCATCCAGCGACTTAAGGATATCGTTCCTGTCGATTCGGATATTTCCATGGGCAGTTTGACCTCCTTTTTGGACGACTTCATGGTCAATGTCTTCCTGCCGCAGTTGGATGAAACAGTGACGGACCTCTGCACGCTCAGCTTCATCGCCGCAGATGCGTTTACAGAAGACCCCCACTGGACCAAGTCCTCTCCTCGGCCTATTTTCAAGGGAACGATCAAATTCATGTCCATTGTTCGGGAATTTAGCAAAATGCTGTCGAGTATTCCACATGACCAAGCATTCACGCAGCTTCTTATTGACCAGATTGTGACCTATTATGACAAGTGCTGTGGGTGGTACAAAGCAATGGTCACGAAAGTCTCTGCGCGGAACCGTGGAGGCGAAGTCCAACTGAAAGCTGCGGCCTCCTTTGCTGATTCAGGCGACATACATGATGTTGTGGACGAACTGTGGAAAGGTGCCGGGGACAAGAAACAGACCCTGATTGATACGGAAATCGACCTTCTTCTCAAGCGAACAGGGCAAGTGCCTTTACAGCCTTACGACATCATATCTGACCCGAAAACCGTCATTTCCCTTTCGCTCTTGTACAACAGTATGCAATGGCTCGCTAGTCACCTCGCGAGAATCCGACTTGTGGTTGAACATACCGCGGATGCCGAGTCATCCAGTTTGACTGCAACTGGCCGACCGTCTCGCAGATGGACTCTGTTCGGGTCCGTGAAGCCCAATCGCGATAGCATCAATCACCCGGTGCATTTGCCACTCAACCACGAGACTGCCGTGGTCTTTGATGGCACGCTCGAATCACTACACCGGCTTGGGGATACTGCAATTATGACGATGCATGTTGACATCCGCTGTGGCATCATCCACATGTTGACTAAAACAATGTCCGGGCCGAATCCTCCTAACTTGCGGAACTCTGAGCCTGTCACTCCATCTCCTAACACAACGGACTACTGGTGGCACATTATCATGAATCAGCCAACCGCTGCGTCGCCCACAATTCTCGCACTCAACAATGATCTCATTGCATTCGACACCAACATCTCGACGTATCTGGGATCTGTTGAGCGTTGGTTCATCACTTCAGGCCTGGCACGGTTTATCGATCGAGTGTTTGTCGCCTGTACCCAGTATATCGGGGCCATGAATGAGAATGGAGCGCTGCGACTCCAGCTTGATGTGCTTGTTCTCCAACAGAACTTGAAGAACATCATCATCGATCCAACTGGTGATTCATCGGAGTCAACTACAGATTTGCAGGCGCAGGCTTCTCAAGAAATCGTTGCTCTACCACGCAGCGCCAAGTTCCTGGACTGGTTCCTAGAAGGCGCCGAGAAGGCTTTGGACTACGCCAAGGAAGAGAAGGAGGCTTTCGCATCACATGGCGACAAAGCCTTGGCTGCTGGAAACGGCGAGCCATTTACCTACGAGGAGCTGCGTGTTCTCGTAGACTTATGTTTCTCTGAAATTCTCCGTGGTCCACGCGGGGCGGAGAACCGAGAGGACTTTATGTCGGCGAAAAAGGCCAGTGCGGATGCGCTACTAAGGCTGAACGAGATTATGTGGGATGCTCGATAGTCCAGGACTGTTTACTCCGTAGTTGTTTTGTTTTTCTCTGAGAAATCCACTAATAGGCTAGAAACCGAATCTCATTTTACCTTGACTCACAGTCATTTCCTCTTTAATTTAAACAACCTCCACTAACCCTAACTCGGTATAGCACTATGGGTCAAATGCCCTTCTCGGCTTCTCCGGAGCATTCACACTGGCTCACGATCCACGGTGTGTTTCACCTTTTTGAGCGTAGTTCTTACGGATGAAATGATCAATTTACTAGTTCATCAAGCCATATGGAGTATGAGCATGGACTCTAACGGCGCTTAGACTTATATCTCCTCCCATCCCATCTTTTTCTCCCTCTTTTCATACCTTCTTTCGCTCTCTTTGCAGTACTTCCTGTCTGGAACAGTATCTGTTTCGAATCTGGAATTCGTTATCCAGACGTCCATTCCTTTGAAGTGCACCTGCACGTCCTATCATTTTTAAGAGGCAATCTGTGACTGTCATTCATTCGATCTTCGGTACCTTGTCTTACCGAACCCTTCATTATTTACTTCAATCTACATTTCCAACAATGAAGTATCTTCGTCTAGCCTCCGTGGCCGCTCTTTTCAGCGCTGCCACTGTATCCGCTGGCCCATTGGGCGCCCGCGAACATGACGGATACTGCCCGAAGGGCTACACCATGAGCGTCTACTACAAGACCATCACCGTGGAATCCTACCCATCTGCGACCTCCGTAGAGTCTACAGCTACCCCGTCGTCTACTCCGGCTATTGTCGAGTCTCAACCCTCCGCTGAGCCCACATTGGCCTCATCCTCTCCTGCCATTGCCGTGGAGTCTACGACTCCCGTCGCAGTTATCCAAGTCGAGACCACAAGCTCTTCAGCTCCTGCTGCCGAGACCGAAATCACCGAGACCGCAGCTCCTAAGACCAATGCAGTCGTGGCTCCTCTGCCCACTGCATCAGCCGAGACTGCCGCTGTCATCGAAACCATTCCTGCTCCAGCCGTGAAGACCCCCGTCGTGCAGGCCTCCACCACCGAAGCCCCCGTGGAAGTCGCCAGTACTTCCACCAAGTCTTCTACTTCCACCTCTTCCACCAAATCCGCCTCCACCGGCTCCTCCAACGGAACCCCCGGAAAAGCCACCTTCTACGGTGGCAATGTCGGCGGCGGAACATGCTCGTTCTCCGGCTACACCCTCCCGAGCCACCTCTTCGGCGCAGCCCTCTCCCTCCAGCGATGGGACGATGCCGCGAACTGCGGCGCCTGTGTATCCGTCACCGGACCGAAGGGTAACTCCATCAAAGCAATGGTAAGCCAAACTCTTATCCCACCCCATCCCATCCCATCTCCAAGAAGCTCTAACCCAACCCAGATCGTCGACCAATGCCCCGAATGCGAAAGCAATCACCTCGACCTCTTCCAAGACGCCTTCGCCGAGCTCTCCGATATCTCCGCCGGCATCATCCAAACCACCTGGTCGTACGTGTCCTGCGACCTGGACGGACCACTAAAGCTCAAGAACAAGGAGGGCACATCTGCGTACTGGTTCTCGATGCAGGTTGTCAATGCCAATGAGGCAGTGACTGCGTTGGAGGTTAGCACTGACGGCGGTAGTTCGTGGCAGAGCACCACCCGCACTTACTATAACTACTTCGAGAACACTTCCGGGTTCGGGACTAGTACTGTTGATGTGCGGATTACCGGTGCTAGTGGCAGCACTGTTGTTGTTAAGGATGTTGGTGTTTCGTCTGGGAGTGAAGTCACTGCTGGGTCGAACTTGTAGATTTGTTAAGCGGAGGGGTTTTATATTTATTTTCTTCTGTTGATATTCTTCTTGAAGTGGTTTGATGATGTCTGTTGGTTATTTAGTCTATTGTATCTGAACTGATCTATAGCAAGGTCGAGCTACAAGGGCACTCTATATCTGAAACATATAGTTCGTTTGCTCTATCATAATTCCGTGCTCGGCTAGTAAAGACTGAGTCGTATACCCCATAACCCGGGTAGGCCATGATGCAACGCTAACGAATCTATGCTCCTGCCATGCAGCTGATCCGCAATCTCACATCTGGACAATTACTGCGTCGTCACTTCCTTATCGGCCTCGACATTGTCCACATGCGGGTGCGTATCGAGGCTGTGGACCGTATCCTTAGGGAAAGAAACGCTAAGAATGTCAAGATCAAGAATTAGCCATCTCACGCTGGAAGAAGACCGAGTGTCGAGATAACTCACGCAAAGCCCTTGATCAACGAGTACTCGTGTCCAATAGTGCCGCCTTGCTTCTGAGCGTGGTCCTTGACACTAAAAGCATCCATGTATTAGTATAGTGTATTTCAAATGACTATCTACCAGCGTAAGATGCATACGCCTGGACCTCGTCGTCGGTTGCGGTTGGCTTGCAGGTGATCTAGGTGGGTCAGTAAGATGTCTGTCTTCTGAACGTGTTATTTACTCACAATATAAGAAGACATGTTTAGATGATGGAAATGTAGTTGTGTAAGAATATAGGAGAAAGTAGATGGGTTAAGTAGAAGGAAAGGTGTCCACGTTGACATCATAGAGGGGTAGCCTATAAGCTGATCAGGGCTGTGTTATCTCCGCTCCGTCAGTGGCTGATCTGCTTATCACGCCTTATGGACGTAAATAGAACTGTAGATCTTTTGTAGGATATTTAGGCAGGAATTATCCAACCCTACGGACTACATAACTCGAAGTTGTTCGTTCTTCGTTCTTCGGGTGACTTGGGGCCTCCCGAGGTTAAGGCGCCACCTCACCCCGATGAAACTACTCTGCTTATGTTGTGACTGAGTAACTGAATATGCAACTACAACACTGTCCCTACGAAGCAGCATAGAAAGAGATAGAATAAAACAGTTTAAAATAAGGACTTATCAATCCGCAGCTCCGTTCAAAGGCAAACCCATCCCAGCCGTAGATTCGCCAGCCCACAATCCATTAATGATGAAAGAAAGTAAAAAAAGGAACAAAAAACAAAGCCCAAGTAGCGTACAAAGACCGCAGATGTGTGTGAGCAGAGAATGATCAAAGGGGGTAAGCAACAGCAGAAGAGAAAAATTGCACAAGTCGCAAGGGTAGTTAGTGGGAAATGCAACACTCAGAAACACTCAGAATGCCAGCGGCAGTCCGTATTGCGAGGAGACAGGGGCAAGAGGAGGTTCATGGCGAGGTTACATCGATTGGAGGAAACATCCATGGTAAGAAGAGAAAAGATCTGTCAACGGCAGAATAGCAGATTTGAAAAACAGAGATGAGGGTATGTTCAAGTATTGACCTCCGGAACGCAACAAGTCGTAGCACATGCAGAAGAACAAGGATGATAAGCCTAATCCATCTCCAGTGACTCTAGCTCTTTCGACTCCTCGTAATCATCAAACTCGAGGCCGGCATCCCGGCAACGTGTCAGCCACTTTAGGGCAATGTTGTTGCGTCGGGCGACCTCGCCTTTGAGCTTAGAGTTCGAGCCGCTGATCTCGGCGATAGCATGATTAGCAGTCAGACTGTGCTTCTCAAATTGCTCATCGATGTTCTTCTTTTCTTCTTGGAGCTGGAGGATATATTCGATCGCACGTTGGAGAATCGCGCCCTTGTTCTTATCGCAGTTCGGCACAAGACGAGCAATTTGGTTGATACCCTCATTAATAGCTTCGCGGCGGCGACGTTCAACTACAGGAAGGGGTCAGTATACAGACACGAACTCGGTCGGAAATGTGCTTCTTACCTTCTTTGTGATTGTTCTTGCGGATCTGGTGCCATTCGGGAGAACCAACGGTAGGCTTCTGGTTCATACTCTGAGCCTCGCGGGCGGCATAGACTGCAGCAGCAGTCGAATTGTGGTTGTGACCACCACCCATGGGAGTCTGGTTCATCTCATCGCCAAAGGACAACCCTTGGGTGAGGTTGCTGGCATCAAAGCCGGAGTCGGGAGGAGGGGGGTACTTGTGTTGAGGAGTGTGTGCAGCCAGGGCGGCCTTGGCATTTGCGGTCAACGCATTATCGTCGGCCAGACCGTTCTGCGGACCAACATGTTGAAGAATTTGTTGATCAATGTTGAGCTCAGCGCCAGTGTTGGGAAGCCCGTGGTCGTAGTTTCCGAGCGCAGAGTGGCCAAAGTTGTGCTGGTTATCCATGCTGCCGTTGCTTCCGTGGGAAGAGCGGTTAAGGCGCTGCGGGTCGGGACCTAGATCCTCAGAGCCATCTCTCTTGCGCTTATGCGAGCCGTTATCAGGGCTGTTCATGGTGGGATCAGACATGCTGAACCCTAAAGCTGATCGTCCTATTCGTAGTAGTGGTTAGTGGCCAGTAAGTGAAAAGTGAATTGAAAAACAGGTCTTGAATAAGAGAAACGGTATGTGATTGGAGATGTCAATGCAGCCTGCGATAAGTTGGCGCCTGGCAGATCAAGTCCCTCTCGGGAAGATCAGTGGGCACCCCGCGAAGTAAACAGACGCGTGAGTCCGACGCGCTTGTAATGCATCCCACGGAGGCCGGCCAACGTCGGGCTCAGCCATCACCAGCAGGTTTTTCTGGCGAGCGGCAGTGCATGGATAGTTCTACATGGAAGGGACGTTGTCAAGCGATCGCATATAATGCGATGCCTCGAGACATCCGCGGGGTTGCAGATATCAAGAACGCGTCACGATGGCTTGCAGGTAGCTGAGGTCACACAGGGGGGACAGCGTCGTGAAGGACACCACTTGCGATGAGCATCGCGACGCGATGTGCAACGACATGGGGGGGTTCTGGATGGAGATGAGGTATTGATGGAGCCGTACCTTGGGATGATCTCTCTTTATCACCTGACAGGAAGTCACCTGCCCGACAACAACAATACGCAGGTCACGTTGTCTGCGAAACCCCGAGTTCGAAATTGGGGCGTGAAAAAGGGAAAGTTGAAAATTTGAGGAAGCTGATATCAGGATATGCAAACGAAGCAGGAATCTACCTCGCGGTAAATTTAGATATAAGAAAACGTGTTTCTTTAGGAAGATGTAGAGCAGCGGACAAGTTCAAGATGGATTGCTCACGTGGCAAGGAGGTGGTCAAGAGGAGGAGTCGCGCTGAATACGGCGGATCAGAACGACCAATAGCGCAATAAATCACCTGATTGCCTTATTCACAAAAAGTCCACTGATGTAAGCAAACCGCATACCGCAAATGAGCCACCGAGGAGCCCTGGAGGTCTAGACAATTTTGCAGACACGACCATAAAGAAACGGACAGCAGGAGCTGAAGATAACCAACTAAAATGCTTGAATAGCTCCGGGGATTCTACGCCTCCATCTCTCATCGCAAGTCATGTGCAGCCATCCCGTGCCCCTCTGCTACACACCTTCTTTCTTGGCCTCTGATTGGCTGGCGTCTCTCGGAGGGGGAAATCCCTAGATCACGTGTAAGGATATATTATGGGCCAATCACAGGCTCTCTTCACCCACTACGAGGGGGGATCGGACCGTCGGATACCAAGAAATTCAAGTTATCTACACATTTAGCAAGTATATGGACGTAGTCTAGACACACTAGAAGCCTACTAACTACATGCGATATACCCGGCATTTGATCCGAAGTTACTGCTCATCCTAGTTTCTCTGCAAGCGCTCGGGCTAGGGCCACTAGTGTATAGAATACCCCCTTCGACTGAATCAGGAAACACAACAGGGGAATATCCCAGAACAAAGGTAGCAACGGGAAACAAAGTCGTGCAATATGTAGTGGGTGTGCTGGTCTAGATTGTGATATAACAGTTCTCTTTACAATATAGCCAGCTTACAGGCTATCTAGGTACTTCGTTTCTAGTTCTCATCTGTTTACCTCTGATCCCTCACCGGGGTGGGGGAGAGGAGAATCACATGTTTCAGACTAAGCATTCTGAAATAGGATTCCCCAAGTGCTTCACACCATGTCTCCAAAGGGTTGCATCGGATATCTAAAAGGGTCTTCCCTAGTACATCGCCTGCATATTGATGAATGTGAAGTCTGAGTGATCATGAGACCTCAGAATTCCACCCCGATGCAAAATTAAGCTAAGTACCTGAGCTTTTCCTGAAGATTGCGACGATCTCGATGATCTTCTTCTATATGTCATCACGTTCAAGTCCCCTATCACATGGATTACCTGCACATGATGCACCTGTGGCAAACGGTGGAGTTTCCATTCTTGCAGGGAAGATCGCCATAAAATAGAGCAATATACACCGTCTAGTGTATATATCCTGGGATTAGGAGGTATCACAGAGACTCGGGTGATCGAAATGCCATTTCTAATGTCATGTCGCAAGGGTGGACCCTCGATCTGGTCATAGACTCCGCATTATCTGTGGAATAGTCTGACGCGTCCAGTGCGCTGCCTCACTCAGACGCCTTTTTCAGTGCAAATACCATTTGTGGATCTGCCGTAGTATCCGCGAAACAAATACCTTCCTCCGTCGCGCCTAGCATGTCCCAGCAAAGTATCTTGACGTCGAATGGGATGACCGCATCCCCTGTCTCACTTTCCACATCAGTGGTGTGCGCACCTGACCTTGCATCTTTCTCCGCAGTATTGGGTGTGGGTCGTTGCGTCACAGCGATGATAGCGCTTGTTCCCGCATATCGCGCCGGTGGCTTGGTATCCTCTGTAGGTGGCTCCTCGCCCGACCGATTAGAAAAGACGATGACGATCTTCTTCGGAGAATCTGCCGCCTTGCCGCCGTCAAGATCCACCTCATGTTCCATCTTCCTTTGCAACAGGGGCCAGAACCGCTGAAGCCAATAGTTGAAAGTATCCATCTCGGGCTTATCCTTCAAGGCATCGAGCTCTTCTCGGCTCAGGGTGGTCAACCAGGCCATGGACAGAATGACAAGCTGGGATTTGGAGTCAAGGACTCGGGTTGCAAATTCCCACTCGGTGAATGGCGCCTCAAACTTGTATGGATTGATATCCATGCAGATACCAAGCGAAGTCGCGACCCGCTTTTTCTCGGATAAAGCCTGCTCACCCTGGTGCACCGGGCTTCTCAAGGAAGACACTGTGCCTTGAGTGGTAAATTCGAGCTCATGAAAGCCTCGCTCAACTTGACCTTCGGCCGCCCACGTTTCGTCGGTGTAATACAAGAAGCTCTTGCGGTAGTTGAGGATGAACTCCCCATCCTCATCGACAACAAGGAGTGAGTTATAGTACGTGGCGTTGTCGGAATTTTGAGGATCCTTCTCGATCTCCGGATACCCCACGCAGACCTTGCATCGCAAGCGTCTGGCAGTTTCGCGCGCCCACGAGCCAGAGGGGCCGTCGCCGGCTGGCTCGAGATATGGCTTGATCGCTTCCAAGGAAGGGAAGTTATAGCCTAGTTATTCATTAGTGAAAATTCCCCACAGATTGAGCTAAACGTCAGAAACTGGGGGGAAGACGGGGTTCTGCTCATTACACGCTCGTGGACAAGTTGGGTAGGTACGTACCCGTCAACGCCAACTCAGGCAGCACCAAGATATCAGGCTTCAACAGATCAACCCCAACTCCGAGCTCCTTCCCATCTACAGAAACGGTCTTGCCAGTCTTCAGTAAGGCATTTGCTTTCTCGATATTGCCTTTGAGATCGCCCAGCTTTGGCGCGAATTGAAGGCTTGCAATCCTCATTTTGTGAGACAGTGAGGTTGAGAAATTCCGAAAGTTAAAGAATGACACGCGTTGTGTAATAGGAAGTTTCTGAGTGAATCGTGAGAGAGATGCGCTTGAAGTTGTTGTTCTTGACGTGGAGGTATGAAGTCCGTGTCTTCTGGTCCCGACGCGGACACAGCGGGGCAGGATTTTTGCCAGAATGATGGCGAGTTGGAATCCTCGGACTATATCCCAATATACTCAATATAATTATTTATATGCGATTTTTGAGTCCAAATCGGAAGCGATTACTTCTGGGGTATTGTTGGTGTTTGGACGGAAGGGCGATATTTTGGGGCGGGTCATATGAAAGTTGATGCCTCAGGGATGAATATCAGTTCCTAGATCCAGTCCAAGCATTGTAATGGTGTAATGTTTACGGGTTTCAACTGAACTCCCCAGTTTCAAGAATACAGGATAGATAATAGACAGTAGAGCTATATGGACTATGGAAGTCATCAAGAGCAGATCAATGGGGCCGACCGATGCACTTCTCTACGTCGTCCACGCATATTGGTACAATTCTGTACATACTTGATGTTGATAATGTATATAGTGCTTGCTAGATCTGGAGAGTCTTCCTCCGGTGATGCATTCATGTTGTTTGATATATGTCACTGAGTATTGGCTCCTCCCATATAGTTTCTATTCCCTTCGCCGTGAACTGCCCATGTGCTTCTTAGCATCCAAACCTACGTTGACTACACCTCCCAAACTTCCTATTATCAACTACTGTACTTAACCCCAGTTTAAGCAGAGAACTGTGCATCGATCATTGCTATTTGGCTACTAGTACATGTTATTAAGCGCAAGGAAATCTCTTCAGCTCCTCTCGCAATCAGGTAATGCCCATTTGAGCATCCAATCTGATATTAACACCTCTTCAGCAGTCGGTCGCTCTTCCGGCCGGTAAGACAACATACGGCGCATCAAATCCAGAAACGCGTCTTTCTCGTCTTCCTCAATCTTGACTCCCATCTTCCGTCTCCATTTCTGCACACCAGTCTCAAATGATTCCTCAAGCGGAGGCCACCTATTTCCTCTGTATGACTCTGTTGGCTGTCTATGCTCACCAAAAAATCGTGATCGTGAGTGCCAGCGGTGCCACCATTCCAATGGCATAGGTCCTAATACATCAATGTGCCGAGCCACTACATGATCCTCGTCCGCAAAATCAGTACTAAATATAGCCTCCATTCCCACAATCTCCCAGATCGCCGTGGCCAGACTCCAGATATCTGAGGGATATGAGAGCGGGCTTTGAAATTCGAACTTAGCCTCCGGAGCTCGAAACGGGATTGGCGTGTGGCAATCTTGTCCAAGGCGAGTTTCTGAAGCGGGAGGGAACGCTTCACCAAAGTCAGTTAGAAGCGGGTGTGCGTCGGATAATGAGAACATCTCCGCAGATTTCCAGATAAATAGCGGCACAACAGCTTTAGATGGGACATTAGGAGGCAATGGTCCTCCGTCACGCCGGGTGATAGGGACTGTCTCGGGTGGTCCGAATCTCTCGTAGAATTGCTTTATAGAAAGATCATCGAAGCTGGACGGCAGCTTGGATAAAATATTATTTAAATGAATATCTATATCACCAAAGATCCGAATATTAGCTAACTAATATTCAAATAGATAGTGGTTATAACCAACCTCCATGAACATAGCCGTGTGAATGCGTGTAAGCAACAGCCTGTGCGAGTCGATATGATAGTGCTCGAGCGACTTCGAGAGGGAAAAGACGGCTAAATGAAGCCTCTCTAAGGTTGCATTGTGCAGGGGCCACCGCGTAGCATGTATGTTTCCCATTAGGACCTTGCACTTCGAATTCATCTAGGAAAACAGGCACCAAACCACGCCCAGGATGTACTGAGAACGACGGAGTCGGATCAGACAGAGCCTTGAGAATTTTTGTCTCGCGCTGGACCGAGTCGGCTATGCTGACCTTGAGAGTAACATATCTGTTCAGGCGAGCATCTCGGGCAAGCCAAACCGTCGAATAGGCCCCGAAGCCAAGTTTGTCTGCAATGTGATAACGGTCGTGTAAGACATCACCAACCATAACAGGATGATATCCCCCAGGCTGATATAACTCAAGTGTCTCCACTCCCTTGATCCAGTTATACTTGACGTGATGATTCCCGGCCTTTGTAGTGTTTGGCCGTACGAAAGATATCGAGTCGAGATTTCGACGCCAAGGGGATTGCAAGACTGGACTTGAAGGTCGAGCTAAGGTCGAAAGGTTGACAGGGTTCGCGATCATTCTGAAGCAGCCCGCCATGGTATGCTGGCCTGATTGCTCAAAGAGATAGCCATGAAGCGCCCTTGGAAGCGACGGTGAACTTTGATGCAGCTCAAGGCGCAAGGTCAATCAAGTGATTTGCCGCTACTGATATGTGATCCCAAGAGCTTTGCGGACTAGTGGTGCTCTCCCTAGTGATGCTCTCATACACCATATACATTGACGTGCATCGATGTAGCTGAACAATGGGTGGTATTACTGGTCGACCATACCAACTCACCGCTTCGCTCTCCGCCTCTTCCCCAATTCTTCTCTTTTTTTCCCTGATATTCTGCGTTGCAATCTGATATAAGAGTGTAGGAGAAGTTTAGCAACATGGGAGCTTGGAGCCTACAGGAAATTGATGGGTACCTGCTTGACAACTATCTAGCAGAAGATTTATGCCATTTCGATGGTATAGTTATTGCTTGCAATATTAGACTGACCTATAGAACAAACAATGATGGAAAGATGACGACAAGTGGTATCTATCATAATGATATGATGGGTGTCGACGCCTACAGGAAATAGCACTTAACTATATTGTTTAGAAGAGGTTGAATTCTTATTACTTGCTAAACACTGCACAGAAATACTTGGACAATACAACAATAGCGGAAAAGTGGGAAATAAAGTGATCAAAAGGGTAAGATATGATGAATTCGACTTGTGGTGATCTAAGAATATAGGAAATTCAAGGCATCGCAACATCAAATGACAACTTTGATTGGTTGTCTCCGTTCCTCATCTCGCAAACCTCCAACAATAGCTGCATTCACAAGTAAACATTTTGCCTCCACACTCGGATTGAAACATGTCTTGACAAACTCGCTAATTGTGGACAGAAGATTCCAAATCCCCCCCTTTAGCAACGACAGTGCGCTCATACGCCTCCTGCAGCGCATCGAACAAGATCCACTCGGTACCTGCACCAGCATGGACATGTCCAAACACATGCAGTTTTGGCCTGACTCTCCATAGCTCCCGGAGGAGGTGATTACAGCCCAGATGTAGCAAGTCAAGATGGGCACGGGGCGGACCATGCGTGATTAGCACATCAATCCCTTCAGACACGGAGCCAGTCCATAAGTCTTGATCGGGAGGATACTGGAAGGCCCAGTTGCCATTACGTTTAGTCAAAGGACTTCCGTAAATCCTAAGCTGGCGACCGTTTGCACAGGCAACGGTGGTCTCCTGCTTATTCAGATAGATGATCTCGCCCCAGTCAAGCCGATCCAGGTCAGCGATGGCATGATCCGCCTCATGGCGCCTTGGGTCGAGTGACAAATCGTGGTTGCCGGCAACAACTATTTTGGTGGGATGGGGCTGGGCGTTTAACCAAGTGAATGCTGCCTGGAGTTCTTTCAACGAGCCCGACTGTGTGAGATCACCGGAGTGAATGAGGATGTCGCCATCGGGAAGGCTGGGTTGACTGTTGTGAGTATCGGAGATGCAGACGATAGTAACAGGATTTGTGAGTGGTTTTGCAGGGATGGGTTGACGCCAAGTGTACAGCTTCCGCGCAAGGAAGATGCAAGGCTGGGCCAGGAATTGTTCCCACGGTGTGGGTGGTTGTCGATTGAGGAGCTCATTAAGACCTGGCATGATTTTAGACTTAGACAGTAATGTAGTAACTACATATGTACCGGACAATGCCTGGCACTTGAGACCTTTCCCTTTCCATTCTAGTGCTCACCCCTTGCCGCTTTTTGATCACTGAGTAAAATTGAGCACGCTCCTGAGTCCCTGACTTCCAACCATCTGGGAGATCCTTAATGCGGGAATTCCGTCGTACAACCGTTACAATACTAAAATTGGTTTTACTATGGTAATAACTCCAAAGTTTATTAAACACTGGTTTTTCCTAGTATTATTTAGAATACGTATTCATGTCAATTACGTATTTATCTGCAATACTAGTATTTCAGTCCTATTTTAGTATTTTGATCCGATCAGTATTTTTTTTCAGCTGTGGAGATTGTCATTTAGACCTAGGTATTTTGTTCAGCAAAGGTATTTCATATAGTATTCAGTGCATAAAGTATTACTATGGTATTCATAAGTATTTGAGTGGATTCCTCATAGTCCCGAGGTCAACATCGACGTCTACCTACCTAGGTAGGTATGTGCATGCTAGGCTAGTCGTTTTCTGAATCCGTAACATATTGAATGGCTTCCTCTCCTACTAATACCCAGCCTTTTAGATTGTCTGGGTCCCACATAACCTCTGGTATGACTGCAGGTCTACCTAGCCTCTGTAGGAGCTGGAAGAGACGCATGATTGGGGCATCAGACTGAAGCTGTTCGCCGGGAACAGCTTGCTTCAGCCACATATGAATCCGTGTGTTCAATTCCCTAACCGCTCGTGGTACTGCCCAGGCCCGAATTGATGGTAAGTGCACCCATATGTCGGGGATATAGGTGTCTTCGTCAAGAACATCCACTTCCATAGATCCGAGGCCTTCCATTGTAATGAATTCTGGGACCATGTATGAGATTGGGTCATTATCGGGGAAAGCAGAGGCGGATTCGACGAAAACAGGGGCTGGAGGAACATGTTCTCGTGGACTTTGAGGCGCTGAAGGGCGATTTTGGGACGAGGGTAGAGGAATCGGGACCATGTCACTAGAGCTCCAACCTCGGGGTTGATACTCTGATACTCGGTTAGGCTGTGCACCTGATAATGGCAATCGCTATAGATGGATCTATCATTAGCGACCTCGATTACCATTTGAGTTGGTTCGAAAGATTTCTTACCTGGTATGAGTCTTCCTGGCTTGCGACATTGTCTTGTAGCTCTTCACCCGCTGATGGTTGGTCAGGTAAGACTGGGTCTAGAGGAGAGGACGATGCCGTTGTGGCATTGTAGAAACTGGAGTGTAGCTCCTCGGTTATATTGCCTGTCCCGTGTCTGTCGGTTGTCTCATCTCCGGCATTCTCTTGTTGCACTTGGCTAGCTCCTGGATGAGCTTGTGACGTGGTATCTGGTGGCGAGGAGGACGCAGTTGTAGTATCATAGAAGCTAGAGTGAAGTTCTTGCTCTGCCATGATTGATTTGATAAAAGAGGTGATAGGTTCGAGATGTTGTGTTGTAGTTGGGGATAAGTGAATGGAAGAGAGTCATGTCTGTGCCAACATTCCTCGTTTGGTGAAAAACTTCTAGGGATTTCAGACTATATCTATTCTGGATTAGATAGATCTTATAGCGTTTAATATATAAAATATTTATTATAATTTATAGCCACTATTTACCTAGAATACACTGGATTATTCCTATATATCAAGTAAAAGGACAACTTTGGAACCTTGGAGTATTGGGTAGTATAGCAACTCAGAATCAAGGCAGAATAAAAAGGTCTCAAAACAGAATCATATCGAGTAAACAATGTCCGATCAAAGAGTTCATCATCGTCAGTTATAGGGGGATAATTCAGGATGTATCAGAGTCACGGATAGGTGGTCCTCGGAAGTAAATCTGTGGGACTGGATCGAGAGGCGCACTTCTTTTCGGTCGAGTAATACGAGGAGGACGCTCAGTAAAGATTTCCTTAGTAGCACCTCGAAGAGAATCGTGCTTGGCCATATTGAACCAAAAGGTGTGGATTTCATTCATTTTTCCGGCGGCCATAAGGTTCTTTTCTCCAGTTGAACGAATGCAGTCAGTCCAGATCTTCACCTTGGTAGCGAGGTTGGCCCAGATGTCTTCGGTCTTTGTTAGCTTTCCGAATATGAATCCTCAAGTAGTGTGGTTTACTTACTTCGAATGAAGGAGCGCCCTTGTTCGGGGGATTTCTCAAGATCAAGGATATCATATACCCAAGAAAAGCAGTAATAGAAATCCTCTTCGTTGAAGGTCTTGTAGAAGTATTGGCTAAGCTTCTCTTCGTCTTCGCAGTCTGTAATAGGAATAGCGTCCTCTGCGGCAGACTTGTCCATAATATAGGCAACCCTTTCCTATCCATAAAAACATATGTTAATAACCATAAGAATTTGGATTTATTCTGATATTGATTTACCTTCATCTTCCTGAGGGTGGTTGTCTTCCAGTTCTTAACATTGTCCTTTGCTAAGTTCAGAGCAGACGTCCACTGTGCTGATGGGATTGTGATATTTGGGTAGCTCTCGAGAATCACAGGCTTGATGTTCTCGATGTTGAAGTTGCAGATAAAGTGCCATTTCAGTCTTTGGTCGTATGCGATCCGTGCAGGGAGTTCATTCTCCTCGAATCCTGTTGCTTCTGTACACGGTATGCGACGGTTGTAGGCTCGGCGGGGTCGTGAGGCTGTTTGTGTTGTTACGCTTGGTGAGATCGGTTCTTCTGATGGGGTCTGGCTTTGAATGTTAATGGCCTCACGGGTAGGGCCGTTCGAGTCAGGAGTGGGCAGATTGTTTTTCGCACGGCATTGGGGTTGGTGTATCGAGAAGCTGTGGATCAATGCCACGCGAAACAACAAGGCTCTCTTGCGAGGTCAAGGTGCTCTCCTCTTCTAGTAGTGCTAGCCCAGGGATACTAGGTCTCGAAGTTGTGGACGAGTTAGACGATTCAGGTCGGAGAGGAGGTTTGAACGGCGTCTGAATGCCACTTGAGGCTTTCCTCTATTAGATGCCTGTTAGTTAAGTCATTATATCCATATTGCCTTAGACGGGGAATCTTCTTACACTCGATGCTCTCGAACTCCGTCCACGGCGTTGTCGTGCCGTATCGTCTGGTGTCTCCATCTTGCAACGATGTAGAGGCGGATTCAAGTAGGCTAAGAGGAATAAGAAAGACTGCTCTAGACCAGTGAGTCTAGTTTTGTATATATTGATGAAGAACTTGATAGTGAGGTGGGTGGTGAGAGATTGAAGAGAGAAAATGTAGGCACGAGCAGGCACGCCGGTGTCTCGCACTTGAGTGTCGTCATTTGGATACCCCGACTTAAATCCTAAGGAAATGGATTCAAATTGTAGTGATTTATATATATAGAGAAATGTTTTAATTAATTTAATCTCAATTTCAGAATTCACTTTTCTAGATCAATCGTTTAAATACTCGTATATCTTCAGTATAAACGGTTATGGGTTTCTATATGGCGAGCAAGATCACCTAGGTAGTGCCTATACTGGATTTTTTACCACATATAGGCTTCCTCTCCTTTTCTATCTGTTCTTCAAACTACTCCTGCGATTTCATCAGTACCCCAACCTGCCTTAAGGTAGTTCGATCTCATCGTTCACTTTACCATAGTCTCGAAGATTTACGACCTGACCCTTTCTGATATCCGTCATATACCCTCGACACTGCGCAAGACCAGGCTTTATTCTGTGGGAGGACAGAATTTCGAGGTTATGCTCATAACTCAGTTCTGAATGATTTCGTCCTGTGAGTTTCTATCTCTGACTTGTTTATGATACTCCTTTGGGCCTATGTATTGTGTCTTATATTCACAATCCTCTATCCTAGTATACATTTCGACTTGGTGGTTGAATCTACCATCTACTCTTCGACCCTTCATCTACCGCTGCAGATTCTGTCTCCCCTTCGTATTCCTTCTCTTTGGGAATACCAGGATACCATTCAGTGACTTATACACATCTGGGACTTACAGGACGAAGATATGGCGTGCCGAGGATTCCGTAGGAGGATGAGATTCATTCTAGATGAGCGTTCTGGGAACAATCTAAGCCCAAGGGTCGAAATCTCCCGAGAGCCAATCCCAACAATTCTACCCTCAGTTGAAGTGGACAATTCACAGCTGCCTATACAAGATACAGCATTCGGGGGGAGATTTCGGAATGGAGGATGAAGAATCTGACTCTTCCCTAAGCCCCAAGGTATGTCCTTTATTCTCTTTTGGAACAGGACTAATATGCTTTTAGAATATCGGCGCGAATCTTGAGCCTATTATTGAAAACCATCCTGACACCGAGACCTTGACCGTGTCCGAACATATCCCTGACGAATTCACCCAGGAGGAATGCCAGATCGTGCTCGAAACTGTGGTTGAAGAACAAGTTTTACCCAAGGATGAAGATATAGAGAGTGATACCGAAGTTACACTGGCAGAGATACCTACACAAAACACACATGATACCCAATCTATCCCTCCAATGCCCCAGCCTATCCTTGAAATGCCCCCGCCGCCTCGTCGAGGGATACAGACAGAACCGGAAATTGCCTTTGAAACTGTCGAGGTACCGCGTACTTTAACACCAATGGACAAATTCCACCTTCTCTTCTCAATATGGTTGGACGACGCCCGAATCTCGCGCCAACAATACGCCTCTCTAGCAGAAATCTTAAGGACAGTGACGGACACAAGCTCTCTACAATCCTTGCCAAGGGACATTACCACTCTAAAGCGAAAGCTATGGGGCCAAGTTTCACTCTTACCTGTCCGAACTCGGAAAATCACTATCATTCCTTCTCAACTTCCTACACTTTCGGCACGCCAGCGTCACCTCAATGAGCAGCTCATGAAGAATATCTATCTTATTGATCCGATTCCACTTGTCACAAAACTCCTCCAATCCCCAGTTTTCGAATCTCATATGTACAAAGGAGTAGCAGAACTCGTCTCAAATCCGGGTGAATTATGGCAATCTTTGTCCTGGGCCTCCTCTATTCGAAGCACATCTGGTGTTTTTGCTCGCTATCCCAACAAGACGCCAATTTTTCCTTCCGATTTCATCCGATACCGTTGCAATAGCCCAGATTGTTGTGCCCAAGGGCTTCCCCCGTTCACTCCTCATTTGGGACGTGTGGTGGGTGTATACAAGCAACACGAGAACATGCTTATCCGCACCCAGATCATCAAGCGCCAGACTGATCTCTTACCTGCCCTTCATTCAAGCCTAACCATTTGTGGACCGCCATTCCAGCGCTTTGAGTTGATCCCTGTTGAGGACGAAGAGATTCTACTTCACGAAGAAAATGTTCTCGGACGCCAACCAGACGTTCTTCTCGATAGACAGTTTGAGAATCTTCCCAATGCCTCTATACGGCAAACATCAAGTAGCACATTCACAATCTGCCGTGTCTACAATCGAAGTCGGAATCATGTGCGTCCTCTACAACAGACTCATCCAATTAGAGGGGAACTTGAGATAGCACATTATGGGCGTCAATTTCTTATTGATACCCTTTCTTCGCGATGTATATCCCTCCCATACCAAATGTTCATCGATGGGTTCGGTCTTTACCGTACTATGTATCGAAGCATTATGGGCATATACATGATTCCTTCTTGTGTCAACGCGGAAGAGCGTGCTAAAAGATCAAACGTGCTCCCGATAACTCTGGGTCCTCATGGAAGTAATTTCTCAGATGTGATCGCCAGCCTACCGCACCTCCGTAGGCTTGAGCAAGGTGTGGACATTCCATGGACAGATGGCAAGTCAGTCAGACTCCTCGCAATTTGCCTTTCATATATTGGTGATATGCCCCAGCAATGTGATAACGCTGGCTGCAAACGAGGACACGCAGATCGAGGGTGTAGGAAATGTTTAGTCAATAAAGAGCAGAGGCACGACCTGAATTTCGATATAGTATCTGAAGGCAGATATCACTTTAAGATTCAGGATCAACGCCAAGCCCAAATGTCAAGGTCACGAACTGCTCGAGCTGAAGCATTTCGCGATTTAGGATTGGCTGACAACGAATCACCTCTTCTTCAAATTTGCCCAGCCCTTGATCGGGTTACCCATTTCCCGTCCGATGTATGTCATTCCGAGTATGGCGGGATTTCAAAAATGGCACATAAACTACTCGTCGATGAGATCCTCACGAAGTCTGGGAAGGAGATGTTCCTAAACCGTTTAAGAGGATTCCCATTCCCCCCAGGCTGGTGCAGATTGCAGTCTCCAGTCACACATTTAGAGAGTTATCAACTCTCCGAACATGCCCGAGCAAGCATTGTGTTTCCCCTACTCCTCTGCCGAAATCTGGAGAAGTCCTGGATTGATCCAGCTTTCTATCAAGGAGTATCCCGTGCGTTTCCCACTTCAGTTTCACCGCCAGAGGATATTATTGTCCTTGCTTTTGCTGCTATTGCTAGGAGTAACGTGCTCCTATCGAGTCGCACAATGAGCCAAAAGGATAGAGAAAGTATCAAGAAAACAGTGGAGCGAGCACGGTCCGGTCTTCAAGGGCTGCTCGAGGCAGCAGCACTTGCGTCACAGGAGATCCGACGGTCACGTTCAAGGTCACAATCTATATTTCTCGGCGCCGAGGGAACTCCTGATCGTCAAACGCCAGCTCCAAGTACAAATAAGAAAGGGACATCCTTCAGGGAAATGCAACGTCGCCCAAATATGCACATTGGTATTCACTACGCCGACGATGCAGAGCTATTTGGGGTCCCGATGAACAACAACACACTTCCTGGAGAGGGTAAACATCAGTAAGTTCATTCCTATCCTCAAAAATACCAGAATATCTCGACTTCTTGCATGTGCCCTGTCAACTTGAAATGGAGTACTAATTATACTTGTTCTTATTCTCAGTGATCATAAGGAGCTCGTCCTTACAATGAACGGAACCGAAGTCGAGCGAACCTTGCTTCTCGAAGAAAGCTTCCGACGCACACTGCGGTTCTACCTAGAAGGAGCATACTTAAACGAAGATCAGGTCACAACACAGACGATCCAGGATGCAGCAATGGAATGCCCTCTAGTGTTTCGAAGTCTTTTTCATATTGATCTTCCGCAAGCGGGACATGGCCACCATGATTCTAAATCCTCTGGTATCAATCGCCTATTACCGGAAGGCTATTCCGCATTGAAACTTCTACTACCTTGTTCCGGATCTACAATACCAGGTTTCACAATCCCGTCATATCTGTCCGCTGTTAGAGTTCGACATCCTTTTGTGGATTCCCTTCGGGGTGCATATCGAGACGAGTACAACAAGCCATATGTCTCTGACCCTGGCAAGTATGTTCCGCGCTGGTATAAGAAAACCTCATTCTACCATAAGTAAGTGAAAGTATAACGCCAAAACCACTATGTACTTTGAGTCAAGCTTGGGCATCTATATTCGCAAAACTTACACTTACTGTGGCTCGATTAGACCCACGAAGAAACGTCACACTCTTTCAATCGGAGATTTTTTACAATACCGGCAACAACAAATAGGACTTGTCCTTGGCTTCTTCACGCACGAGCTAATACCTGGGGAAACAAGAGTCTTCGTGTATCTCCAACCTCTCTCACCCACGAGTAGATTGGACCCAATCCTCCTCCTACCCGAACTCCATCTACAACCGACTTATATAGTTGTGGGCCTCCCAGGTGTCTCAACCCGCAAGGATTACGTCTTAAAGACCACAAAACGGAATACCCAACAGTCGACGACCAGGGGTATTGGGGATGACGATGAATCTGATATCAAGTTTACGCACTGCATATGGGAAGTTGAATTCTTTTAGCTCTACTCATGTATCTACAGATAGCTCATTTGAAATGGATAATGAAATAGAGAGGCACAGCCTTGCTACATGCTGTCTCTATTCCAAGTCAATAGGTTCGATTCTAGAATATATTAAACCTCCACGTCCCTATAGTAGCAAAAAGCATATAGAAGGAGTAACCATTAACGGATAAAAAGGAAAAAGATCCAATTCATCGAACCACAAGTAAACACTGAAAGATATTCAGAGAGATGCTGTTAGGGTTTTATACGCGGTAGTTGTGATGCCTTCCTTCTAGTACGAGAATGGCTAGATCTTTCCCTTAGGGACCCCATCCACCTTCTCCTATTCTTCCGTCCCCCCATCTCCTCAAATCTTTTCTCCAACTCGCTGCTACTTTCAATTTTTCAATCCTTTGGTATTTTGAACACGGCTGGGTGACCTCAACCTTGGGCAGTGACAGATGAGTGAATGAATCAGTTAAAAGGAAAAAGGACTGACCGAAGAATCTTCAGGTCCTGATCCATTCTCCTCTCTCCTGATACAGAATCAACCTACAGGCGTGTCCCTATCGAACGATCCATCTATCTTCCGTATAACAATGAAGATCTCATATTCATCCAGCCATCAATCTCTCGACGGTATTCTCCAGATCCTCAAGATGGCTTGGAATAGGGAAATCTAGGAGAAAGAGAAGTATACCAGACACAGGCAAAGCTCAGTGAGCTAACATTTCTATTGAAACAGATTCTGCCTACGATCTGGTTACCTTCCTACGAACACACAGCCTAACCTCCGAGAGAATCTACGGCGATAAGACTCAAATCCCCAGCCCCAAAACCATTGCTAGGTGCGTCACGATACTCCAGGATGATCAGAATATATGCTGAACAAAGGCAATCTGAGAGAACCGTGCACGATTCCTTCTATTCCTCTCTTCCACACATCGACCAAATAGACGAATACTGGACTCAGGTTAGCAAAACTTCCAACGACCCAACTACCGGCAGACTATCCATAAGTGCCCCAATCCCATCACAGGTCAAGGAGCCAATGATCTACCAGACAACAAAGACAAAATGGAAGGCAAGTCTCTTAATCCCTATTCTACCATACCTATATACCCAGTTGATTTACATGCTAACATAGCTAGCCGTTATCTGCCCAGGTGGTTACCATAAGTAACCAAGTTACCTCAAGGTTAGACATCGCCACAAAGGTACGTGAATCTTCGAAATATATCACAGATATTAACCGCCCTTGACAGATACTCCAAGAACCGATAAACAGAACAACTAACGAACTGGTTTGAACTCCCCCAAAACCCCAATGGACATATATGGGCAGAACAACACTGACTAACATAAAGTAGGGAATCGATACCGTTAAGATGAACATCCCTGGCCAGGTATGTCTTATGTTTATCCTCAAAAAGAACGAAGTTATACTAACTTTGATATGACGTCTCTCACACGCGATGAGGCTCTACAGATAACTTTCTGAATACCCTCACATGCTGCCCAAACTGGCAATTGAAAGCCACAGAGTCTAGGTGAGTTCCCATGGGACTATCTGCCCAACTGAAACTCAAAGTTGAGTGTGTTTCTGACATATACGTGTACGAACATGATCCAGTTTTCAATCCCTACGGTTCAGTTCGCTCGGTGACACGACCATGACCAGCACTACAGGGTCAATGACGAACAAATACGGCATGATCGGAAACCAATCCCGCCCATCCATCATCATCCGAAGACCAAGAATCCTCAACGTCTCCCCACGGCCTCTTATACCCCGTTCCAGGTTCAGTGCGAAGCCTACCCACGTCTGCCCCTGACCCGGACATGGATATTCTACGAGCTAATATACATGTTCCACGGGCCAACAGGTATGTTCTCCAGGAAATGGACTACAAGAAAACAGTGGATTGAACCAGGAATGCATGGATGGTCGACACCTGGGTAGGTAGACAGGTACAAATGAAAATGTCACATGATCGCCTCACTGAAATGCCTAGCTGTGGCATGGATATCCAATGTGATACAAATGGATAAAACTATACCGAAGAAAAACCCAAGCATTCAGATTACTATGTAAATACTACAAGAATACCTGGCAAATACTATGTTAATACTTAGCAACTTACTGAAATACTACAGTAATACCTAGCATGCAACTGAAATACTATATTAAAACCTAGTGATCAGATGAAAAACCTATACAATACAGGCTGTTTAATGGAAATACTAAAACCAATGAGAGAATACCGGATTAATTGGAAATAAGTATTGCTTATAATACCGTGTTTACTCGATTGTTGTGGGAATGCCGCATTTAAATAAATACCGGATTACAACCATTGAAATGCCGGTATTTCGCATCCTAGTTTCTCCCAGATGGAAGGTTGATCACGGATCATTATATAATCAGCATGGTCCCGACCTCAGGAGGTCTGCTCACTGAGCATCGTGAGCCTCTCATCGCCTGGAGGTCCTCTTTAACCTGCGACACCTCTACCCTTGTCGCGGGCTTTGTCAGGTCGCCTTCACTCTTGGCCTTCTCGGCCTGCCTGTCGGCCCACCAGTTATGCACGGTGACCAACTCCCTAACAAACTGCATCACAACAAGTGTGATGCCAAAGACTTTGGTCTGGAAATCAATTTCCAGTACCATCTTATCTTCTGCTATTGTCATACAATTACAGTTAGTTGGCGTCTACTCAATAACTGGTATATAGGGAAGGGTGACGGGAAGGGGCCACAAATCGTGGTCTATTACGCACCTGGGCACGCTTTTGAAGGGCTTGGCAGAATTTGCCAAGTCCTCTGGCCTCACGGTATAGTTGCCATCGGGGCCGGGCCTGGGGATGGGAAGGGCCGCAGCCACATTGAGGATCATCTATATATTCATTTGGTTAGTAACTACCCTTGTAGGGATCCAGAGGTTGGGGTCCAGAGGTAGGGGCCCAGAGGTGCTTCCAGGTAGTGACACATTCAAGCTTGACCCGCGTACATGTGTCTACTCAGAGGTTCATATTTTACTTACCAAGAGGAGTAGGGAGATGAAGGAGGAGGTATTTTTTAGCCATCATGGGCATTTGAGTAGTGCTTGATTTTGCAGAGATTAGAAGAGATTAGATGAGAAGAAGAAGGAAAGAAGACCGAGTCAGTTTTTATACGTTCTGTCAAAAGCTTATCCATCCATGGATACCTAGGTAGGACTATATATGAGTAAAACCTCGTGACTACCCTTAGGAAGAATCCACTCTCCTTTTGCTTTGAATTTTGAATTGATACTGACATTCCTTTCACTTTGCTTTCACTTTGCTCTCACCTTGCTTTCGCCTTGTTATCTTCATATTTACTTTGATAGAACGATCATCCATACTGTACCCTGGTCCTGGTGACCACAGGATAAAGCTCGCTGGGAATAAGAATCGCATTGCAGACTTGACACTATTCCAAGGAATATTCTCATCCATGGTATGCCCCATGTCGTCGAGGGAAGCTCGACTGGTAGGAGAGTCTTTGCATCATTTTTGGGTGTGGTTAATATGGTTGCTGAGACAGATTTTTCCGATATTCGTCGCTGCTGCGGCTGTTCATTCTTCTGCCGGCCAGGCTATAATTATCCCTAGGGAGATGGTCTCCATGGGCGAATAACTCACTCAGCTGTACATTCAGATTCCTGAGGATGTGGCTCCTGAGAGTGATCAAACTCCGATTGAATATAGGGTGTTAAGTCTGAAATGCACGGCTGCGAAGAAATAAGATTACCCTTAAGTGAATTCCAGAACAAACTGTCGACGCGATCAAACCATAATCTCTCCTACCCAAAGAGGATGCTCTCCACTGGTGGGCTACCTATCAAATTGGCCAGCGTGTCTCGCCTGAATTCATTGTCAACGACTGCAAGACTCGAGCGAAGGGTTACTATAGAGACTCACATTCAGACTATGTGTATGGCTGGCTATAATATGAAGCATATTAGTTTGAGGCCATGGAGTCTATTCAAAGCGAACTTACCATCTCCGGCAGTGAAGACTCTTCCAATCCTAGCTCGGGTTGTTGCTAGGTAAAGGCGAGTCACGAATATAATTTTCGTTTATTTCTTTGTGTGACAGTCCCTTGTCTCGAGATATGGCCAAAACGCTTAGTAAAGATCGCAGCAATCTACTTCCCGTTTTCTTTGAGGGCTCTTTGTATGCAATATACCAACGGTTCCCTCCTGCTTTAGTGGAAGGCTTGCCATATAAAGACACTATAGTTATCAATCAACTAATCGGCCAATCAACCAACATATGTATAGAGAGGTTGCAAGTTGTATGTTATCGGCCTTCCCATTGGCTGCTATGGCTAGCCGATATTGCGTATGTCAGTCGCCGAATACCAGATCTTTTTAAATAGCTCTCCTACTCTATTCTTTTAATATTTGTGACCCGTTTTTCTTTTACTCTTTACTATATTAATTTGTTTCCATAACCTCTTCAAATCCGAAGCTTGTCGGGGATAAAAAAAAAGAAAACCTTTCAATGTTGTAGGTGCACATATCGTGTTTCGAACGCATTGGCTGCTACGCCGAACACCAGATTTGTTAAATAGCTCTCCTACCCTATTCTTTTGATTTTTTTAACCCCGTTTCTTTTACTTCACTCTTAGCCATCTCCTCTTTCTCTCGCCTATGACGTTCGAAGTCCAGAGGCACATGCGCAAGTCCACGAGCACCAGTTCGTCGAATACGCTGTTCGGTTCGGGACATAGGTCGGTCCGGTGTATCAGGAGCATAAGCGACCTCGTATCCTCTGGCAGTGCGATTGAGTGTCAGACGCGGGGGTACATAGGAATTTGGTTGGGGAATATTTCGGGCTTGATACTTTTCCACGATCCGGGCAATGGGATTCCAGTTTGGGTCGTGCCATGGCTCTCGGATTCTTCCGGTCCAACCGTCGAAGATTCCAGGGCCCGTCCTCAACTTCTCGGCCAAGATCCGTGCTCGTGAGAGGGCAATCTCGTCCTCATCGACTTGGCGAGCCCGTTTCAGTCGAGCTTCTTCAATGTACTGGAGTTGTTCCTCGGTCAGGGCCTTCGGCTCGCACAAGGCCTTGGCTCGTGCAAGCTTTTCTTCCAGCTTTTCCAAGATCGGGAGCTTCGGTATGGGCCGGTTTTCCGCTTTGTAGACGGAGAAATTGAAAGGGACATGTTCTTCCGCTGTGGAAACCTTGGGCGCCTTAGTACTTGGGCCCTCTTCCTCCAGCTGGGGCTCAGTTTGCTCATCCGACACTCGCTTCTTTTTGAGGACTTTAGACTTCTTGCGCGCCGAAGACACTTCCGAGTCCTGTGGCAGAGGCTCTTCCTCTTCGAAATGAACGGACCTTTTGAATGATCCATCGGGCACTGCAGCAGGAGATTTTCCTTTCAGTGAGGAGCGCCTCTTGTGCTGAAGGGGTGCTTCTGCATCGGTGGCCTCATGTTGTCGTTTCAATGACGCTTGATGTCCAGGAGCCACTGAGGGTTCTGGGCCTTGGAACAAGGGCGCTGACGGCTGAGTAGTTGCCGCTTCAGGCGAGTATGTACTGGATGTGGCGTCGAATATCTTAGGCTGTCGAAGTGCTTCAAAGAGAGTCCGGGGAGGTGAGGGGGCGGTCGCTTGGGTGTGCGAAACAGACCGACGCGTGCCCGAAACCGAAGCGGAGCCGTTGATGGGAGGCGGGCTAGGTATTTGAGCCTGTGCAGGTGCCGACTGGCTGAATACTGAAGTTTCACTCAGCTTGGGCGACTGTAAACTACTCAATGACGGGGATGGAGTCAATAGTGGCTGCTCAGGCGTGGGCGCTGTAGTTGCTGGAATGTCCGCTTTGTGGCTTGGCTGCGGTGGCTTGGGAGCTGCAAAGACTGAGCCGGGAACTGGAAATTGAGTTGCAGCCGAAGATCCTGCATTGTTCACTGAGAATGGCGAGGAAGGCTGCCCGGAACTCAATGCAGCTGCAGGTTCCTTGGCTTTGACAGCTGTCTCTGGGGCCTTGGCGGCTTGGAATGGAGATGGAGCAGCAGATGTAGCAGCAGTTGGGAAAGATAGCGGAGTGCTCGGAAGTGCAAAAGGATTGTTCGACGCAACCGATGATTGCTGTGTTTTGGTGTCGGTCTTGAACATCGTAGACTGTGCAGAAACATCTGCAGCAGGTTTGCCCACCCCAGGGCCTGCCCTTGGAAACATGGACGTCTGGCCAAAGGGGTTAGCACCAGAGAACGCCGAAGACGCGAAGGGATTCTTGGATTCAGCCAACGATGCAGGAGGTGATGGCTTGAACAGCGTAGAGGGCGCGGCGGCAACTGTTGCCGGTGTCTCCGTCTTCTGGGTTGGCTCTGATGGCTTGGGGAAGGAGGATGGAGACGGCGCAGTGAACGCGCCGGCGCCGGAAGAGAATGCAGACGCGGGTTTCTCCGCAGTCGGCGCCTCAGGAGGCGAAGTGCTGGGCTTGAACAGCGTAGACTGCGCAGGTGTGGCTACCGCAGGAGCCTCCGTCTTTTGGGTTGACTCCGATGGCTTGGAGAAGGAGAATGGAGACGGCGCAGTGAAAGGGCTTGGGCCAGTTGATAGCACAGAGCCGGGGCCATTCGGGAACATGGAAGCGGGCTTGTCTGCAGTTGACGATGCAGGGGGGAATAAACTGGGCTTTGGAAATGCGGGTGCAGGGGAGTTGTTGTAGGTGCCTCCGCCTCGAGTTTGGCGTTGGCTGGCTTTGAAAAAACGGACGAAGAAGAAGAAGTAGAGGTAAAAGCGGATGGTGAAGGGCCGGCAGGAGTAAATGACGAAACAGCTGCCTTGTCGGCGGTGTCAGGCTGTGAAGGAGGGGGGTTTTGTCTGGAAGGGCGAGGGAGCCACATTAGTGGTCACGCAGGTGTCGGTCTTTCCGGGCCCTTTTGGGAACGAGAACGGACTCGGCGAAGAAGTGAAAGGAGATGGCGCTGCGGGCGTAACAGTGGTGGAGGGGATCGAAGTTGTGAATGGATTTGAGGGAGGAGATGCCATTTTAGATGGCTGAAAGGCCGGCGCGAAAGGATTTGGCGGCTTTGAAGTGGCTGGTGGTAGATTTGACTGGAACAGGGAAGGCGAAGCTGCAGGGGGAGGTTGTAAAGGTTCCTGAGACTCAGAAGCGACCCGGAATTCAGAAGCAGATGTGTCCTGAAGAAGGGCGTTCGGTGTTTCAACCACTGGTGCGGGCGTCTGATTATCAATATCACTCACGAAGAGATCCCCATCTTCTGCCTCTGCCTCAGGCAGAGTTTCACTCTTTTGGGGCAACTGGGAGCGATCAATCATGCCCATTCTTGCGGCTTCTCTGATGTTCATGCCGAGAATGATGGCGACAAGACTACGTCCTGCGCGCTTTGACTCCACATATGTTTCAGAGAAAGAGTGGTCAGATGAAGGCGCAAAGTCTGGGAAATTGTTAGTCACAAAACAAAGAAAGAGCAAGAAATGGGATGGAAGGCATCATAAATTTGGGGCGAGTGAGATGGGTGAAGTGGGAAATGAAAGCAAACGAGACTCGGCTGAGATGAAGTTGCTTAAAATCACTTACCGACAGAGTCTACTGGTCGATCACCCCAATTGAGATAGAGTCCACCACTTGCGTTCTCAGCAAACTGTAACCCTTGTGCATTACAGTATTCGATTGTCTGCTCGTCATCATCAAAGTGTAACACCTTAGTTAATTCCTCCACAGTCCAGTGATCGTTTTTGGATTGCTGTGACAGCGGAGTCCGGCAGTAGGCTTTCCAGATTGCACGGATTGCTGTCTGACGAATGTGGTTGAAGTAGACCTCAGCCACACAGGCCATCAGGTATGACACACTCGGGGAATTGATGATGTTGAAGAAACGAGCGTAGAATCCCTGAGCAATTGCATTCGGTCGACGAGAATCCAGAGCACCTTGAGGCTCCCATGTATTACAGGCAGCAGCAAATAGTTCCAATGCCACCTGCACTCGAGGCGAAGCGAGCAGGGCAGTTGGCCATTTCTGAACACGGGCTTCCAGGTCAGGCCGCTGGTCATGGATCGAGAACAAGATGTGGTAGGCACGGAACTCGTCCTCGTTAGGGAAGTGGATGCGCTCGCGGTTGTCATCGTAGTAGTACATGAGAGAGAGCATGGTGTTGTTGAGCTGCTCACGCTCCTGGTGACGGTCAAATTGCTCCGTGTTCGCCGGGTTAGAAAGAAGATGCAGGGACACGATATGGAATCGCGCAATCCTTTCTAGACAAGTGACGGCTGTCTTCACGTCTTCTTCTTGTGTAAGTTGCTGCACCGAGAAGTCGTTTCGGATTGACCGTGTCCGATTCCAGACAAACATGTGGATGACGGCCAACGGTTCACCACCATTGATAACATAACGGATCAGGTAGTTCATGGTTTGTAAAAGTGTCCTTGGTGTCCGGATATCCGAGGGCAATTGCTCGTCATTTCCAGCTGCCGCACGCCGGAAGCGCTTCACCATTTTGGTTTCCATGATTTCGAGCTGGTCCGTTGACGGGTTGTAATACTAAATTTGCGTGTCAGCAATGGCACAAAAATAGAAACCGGCGCACCATTACCTTTTCACATTTGTCGACTGCTTTCTGGACGATTCGCTCCACCCTCTCGAAATCAGGACACATGCTAGTGCAGGTACCCACGGGTGTGATAGCCTGATTCAAAGAAGTCGGCTGATTCGGGTCCGCCATTTGCCCATCCTTGATCGCCCTTTCGCGCTGTGTCACTTGATCAATTTTCAGCTGCAAAGTCGGTTAGCTCCGTAGTTGCGTTGCCCGTTTTCGAGAAGGGCAGACTGACTTTGTCAAAGCGTTCCTGGTAATTGTTCAACGTCGAGGCATGCTCCATGGCGGCGGCAACATTAGATCCGGCGCCAACAAATTTCGTCGAAGGTTGTTGTCTCGTAATGTTCGTAGGTTGGGCGAATGGGTTTTTGGCGACGTTCGAGGGGGAAGCACTGTTTGAGACTCTGGAAAATGGAGATTGCTGGGCGGGCTGAGCCCCGAACGGCGACGCGACGGCTTTTTGCTGGTTCGATTGCGCAAACGGTGATTTGACAACACCAGGCTTAGGGGCCCTCCGCGGGTTGTTGGGGTTCATTCACGGTGTGGCCTGCAGCGCCTGCGCCGCGACCACGACCACGAGCTGTCCATGTCGCTGACCCCCGCCCACGCCCTCGAGCCCTCGCTGCGCGAGGCGCACCTGACCCTCTCGGCACATATGTTGATGTATGGCCACCTCTTCCCCGTCCCGTTGAGCCTTGCACGCCCGGCGCGCCTCCCCTGTGGCCACGGCCCGCAGAAGGGTTAAACGGGCTAGCCATCCTGCCCGCAAAGAGCGGAATAAACTGGATAGGCTGCCGCCTCTTGGAATAGGCCTGTCGCTCACTCTGTGGTCAAATTTATTTTGGATTTATGGGGTGGACGATTCCGATATGCGAGACGGCAAAGTCGATTGCGCAGAGATCTGAAAAGTTGTTTCCTATCTGCTAGAGTTAGTGCGCCGCGGCGACCACAAAGAAGTCAGCCCATGTTACAAAGCCGAGGGGATGGCCATCCCGACCCAATACTGCGCGGAAGAGGCGCGGATGGATACAAAGAAAGGCCGGAGGACAAAGCTGGGGACCGGAATGGACTCGGGGATAGGTATTCGCACTACCAGTACACTCACGGGTCTCTTTTCTTCAAAGGAATGTGTAAGCGACCTCACTGGCTTATCGCCTTTGGTATTTGCGATTCGTTGGGATCGTTCAAGCTCGTGAGGCGGCGTGCCGGCGTGCGCGTCGGAGTTTGCAATACTGGCATGAACTGGAAGGCGGATCCAGTTTATGAGCCACGCAAAGACGCCGAAATGCAAATAGGGACCGGAAAGCAAGCACGGAGTGAGCGTAAAGCGATTGAAGAGGATGGTAATCGAAGTGTCGCCGCGTTCACGGAGCTTCAAGCTGAGCGGAGTGGCTCCGCTTACTCCGCTGACCAAGCGCTTATGTCGGCGCGCGCTTGCGTCTAATTGGCCGCGGCTGTGCCTATTCCAGTCCCAATTGGATAGAATGTTGTTAGGAACAATAGGTATTATTGGCAACAATTACAATTGACAGTTTCATATTGTATTAGGCAAATACCAATTCAACCATCCGGCCCTCTCGCGATCTGTACCTGTACGTTGGAATTTCAGGGCAGATGTTGCAAACACATGGAGCGGCAGGAGACCTTGAATCTCGGAATCTAGTATAATATAATAAATATAATAATATTACTACCCATAGTGCGATAGAAGTGTCCAGGAACCAAAGATCAAAATAGAGACAGAAAGACAAAGGCATATATAAGACCGAAAAGGTAGTCCAATAGTCCAGGCTTGGAATAAGTAGGTATAAGATGGACGCCTTATGCTCAAAATTCTAGCTTCCCCCGCTTAAACTATAAGCTATTTCGATAGTTCTAGTGCAAGGGATTTCTCGTGGTGCATCTTCAAGCCTATGTATTATAGCAATGATAAGACAGGCTCAAAAGAACCGCACACTGCATAGTCTTGCAGGGATTAACGAGGCGCGTCCTTGGCTATACAGGACAAGGTCGTCTGTACATTGCATGCTTTCCACTGCCTTCTATTTCGCTATAGAACTGGGACGGGAAAATAGATCCAAAAAGAGAACGTAGTATTATAAGATATCATGGCATGGACAGAGGCCACTTAAGCGGACGACTTTTATTGTCGAATTGGTTCAATATCCATTGGTTCCTATGGTCAAGAAACTGGGGATCTCCGAACTACTCACGCCATTCAAGTTTGTGACAGATACACTGCGTGTAAGTCTCTCGACTGAGGACTGGGTACTACATAGCTAGATAACAGCCCATGGCAAGGATCATGAGCTAAAAAGAAAACCATTAAATGAGAACCGGTTGCATATTATTGAGAATAAAATTTTGAAGTATCTACCCAAATCTCGTTTATCAACAGCTCCAAACATCCAAGTTGGAGAAAACCCATATTCACAACGAAAACCAAAAAGATCAAGCAAGTAAGCAGACCAACAGATGACAAGAAAAGAAGCACAAGGCCAACACCAAAAAATAAAAAGAAATAAAGATGAAAAAATGGCGAGACCATAAAGAAAATAATAAAAAAGGAACCACAGAACAAGAACAAAGACCGGAATATAAATCACTTCAAACCAAACAAGACCCAAGTATTTTCAGAAAGAAAAAGAAAAAGAAGCAAAAGACCCCATTTGTACCGTCACCTTTCAAGATGACCCCAAGTTTTATACCAATGTACCCAAAAACACAACAACTCCCCTGGCAAAGCCTTATGATAAGCGCTAAGTTTGTGGACTAGAGCCATCACTCATATATGTTCGTTAATACCCATTTCACGAGTCAGAATCATCCGTGACAAGAGCACCACACCCTATTAGTCATTTAGACGGCGTGGGAAAGAGTCATCCCGTTAGGATGTGGGTGGCTCAATGATCCCGTGCGGAAAGGCAGGGATCTTTGGTGGATGGAGTCCATGTGGGACTGCTGGGCATGGGACATGTCTTGCATGTGTGATACCATGGGCATCTGGTAGGGCATTGAAGGCTGGGCCATACCCTGGCTAGAGGCAGGTGTGGTGTAATCGACAGGGCTGAAGATGTTCTGGCGGAAAGATGGGGTCCAGGTATCGTATTGGCCGCTTACTCCCGCGCGTGAGTGATCAGGTGTGGAGTTTTGGAAGGTGTTGTGGGCGGAGTAGTCGAAGGCTGAGACTGAGACGTCGTGGGGACTGATCATCTCTGCTGTTACGGGAGTGCTGAGCATGGGCTGCGAGAATGAATCGCTGTATTGGGGAGGTGTCGTGTAGTAAGGGCGGTCCTGGCGGTTTTCGAAGTTGATAGGCTCAGTCATGGAGAAGCTGCCTGGGAGGGAGCGGGCTGATGGCATGTTGTCGATAGGCGTGGTTAAGGAGGTGGATGCTTGCTCGAATGATGAGATGGGAGTCATTAATCCTTGGTTGATGTGCTCGGGTTCTTCGATGGTCACTGAGGAGGTGGTAGAGTCGTCTTCTTCATCACCCTTAGGGCTAGGGCCGCGGTTCATGGTGTAAACGACCATGTTGGCGTCGACTTCACCTCGTTCAAAACGCTCCTCCATCTTGCGAACTCGTAGGATCTCGTAGATGATCTCGACGTGGGATGGGTGCTTCAAGCTCCGCTTGGTGTCGCCAGCAACATCCTTGAGCTTGTCGGCAGTGATACCGTAAGAACCGAGCTTGCGGATAATGTGAAGCAAGAGCTCAATGCGGTCTAATAAAAATAAGTAAGCAATCAGATCGAGAATAAATTAGACCATAGGACCTAGATCATACACTCTTTTCTCAAGTGGTCAGGCTCCTTGTGCATAACACCGGGAGGCCACCACTCGGGCTTAGTCTTTTCTGGGTCCCCAGTAGTACCGGGGGCGGATCCTGCCGGTGGCTTGCCGCCATTGTAAGGGTGTCGGACCTGCTTGCGAGGCTCGATGAATTTAATGAATGCCTTAGCAACCATACGGCAGTTCAGCTGTTGGAAGTGCTTTAGGGCGCCCTCATAGTAGGCCATGACCTTTTGAGAGTCTCCAATGCGGAGAGGAACCATTTCAGTAGACCCGCTAGGGAGCTCCTCGCTATCAGTATCCTGCTCAGTCAGGCGGTCGTCGATAGAGATAGCAGGAGCGTTGCCCTTGCGACGTCTTACCCGACGAGGAGATGCGTCCATTGTCTCTATATTGGGATTAGTATGAATTGGCCTTGGTGTTTGGAACTTTGACATACGGCGAACAGGAGCATGGTAGCCAATGCGTTCGCCCAAAATCTCGAGGAAGTTCTGGCGAACCTCTGGAGTGAACACAGTGGAGTTTTGTTCTTGAATAGAAGATGATTCATCCACCTTAAGCTTGCCATCACGGTCAAGGTAAATCATAGCAAAGTGAGCATAAGGAGGACGGAATGATGAGCGGGAGTTGGTCATCATTGGCTAAACCAGATGTCAGTAAGAAGGAACCCAGATTTCTCTTGGAAACATACAGGAACATCGCCCCATCCTGGGGGTCCTTCGAGGGCCGAGGCAGACCTCTTCATGGCTCCGCTTGTTGGTTTACTGTAAACCATGGTGGCGGATATAGATGCGTATAGGAACTTGGAATGAAATCGTCTCGATAAGGGTAATTCAGGCTCAGTCGAAGCAGTGTATCAAGATAACCAGGAATGAGTAATGTGGAATCTGGATATTGCACGTCTAGGAGAGACTGTTCTCTTTATAGATAGTGTTGCTCGAGTGGCGGGGTTGCGATTCGGAAGAAGTTGGTACTAATGCTGTGGACTTGCAGTCAGCCAACTGCCACTAAGCATCTTCGGCAGCACCAGTCCGTCCCGGGAGAGGGTGTTCTCATGAACACCCAACGGCGGAATGGCCATTCCCGCTCCGGTGCGGGAACCGGTAGGACAAACGCTGGCATTCCGACAAACCGGGATCCAATCAAGCTCTTGTCAAACAGAGCCAGAATAGGTGGGATGTACTCACACAGTTGGAGTTGACAATGTGCAGGTGGCTCAATGGGGATGTGAAGCGGATAACTGCAGCACAGTAACTGTTCGTAACCGGGATGCAGGAACGAAAGGAAGCCTCCACTTTGTGTTCCCAAGTAAACGAAAGGTGGCACCGGGGGTTGGGACGGGTGAGAATGAAATATCTTGAAAGAAGATGATCAAGTGGGATGATCTTTTAAATAGAGCTGAGGGAGTATAGAAAATCGAGAGGGACAAGAAGGGGATATGCAAGCCTTTTTCAGTTCTAGACTTTAATGTGTACAATGACAAAAGCACGATAAAAAAAAAAGGCCAGCAACTGGGCATGGATGATCCTAGAAGCTGGAATCCCTCTGTGATCGTATGCATGCAGCGAGATTGGCGCATTCAAAGGACATGCAGTAGCTTAGACTTGACTCGATCCAGCATCCCTGTCCCACTATTTTGTAGATCGCATATTTTTTTATATTTATATTTATATTTATTTGATTTGAATTTTTTAATCCTTTTTTAAAATTATATTATATTTTTATTTTATGTATTTTTATTTTTATTTTATTAAATTCCATATTAATTCCATTAATTTCAACTCGGGGCAAACCCCAACAGTGGCGCTCATTATCGATCGACCCCCCACAACCAGGCTCATGGCTTGCTGTCAGTTCAAAGATACAAAGATACCCTTAGGGGGATCAGATCCCTATGTTGTAAGTCTTGGAGTCACTTACTATTGGTATGCGAGGCAACCACCAAGACCTTACAATATAAATGTCAATCATAAACACGAACCTATTAACCCTATAAGCACTCGTATAAGCACTCGCGTCTAGCTGCCAGGCACCCCCAAATACTGGGAAGGCGCACAGGCCCTATTTGAAGCCGTGTGCTATTCTTAATGTGCAGATCGACCTTTCGGTGGTTCCGGTTGAAAAAAAATGTAATTCGTCATGCTGTGAATCTCAGGAAAAAGTACCTAGTAAAAGTGTATAATGATGCCTATATTATCCTATTTTTTTTTTTTTACATTATAACACTATAACATTATCTTATTATATTCCAAGGTTACTTATTACTTAAATTTGAAAATTAAATATTATCTATAACTTTTTTTCTTTCGATCTTCGGATCTCAGCAAAGTGCCCCGACACTAGCAAATGTATCCACACTTCCCCATTCTACGTGAACCTATCAAAATGCGGATTGTGCATGGCCCAACATCCTGGATCCTGGGAGGTGACTCGCCGATAAACTGTCACTGTTTCTTTTATATCCCCGTCTGGAGCTTGTTGCTGTTGTCGATCTCGGTTCATTGACAGATACCTAACTCCGGGGTGGCCAAAAACTGCGGGTTTCTGGAATAGACCTTGGCTTCAGCTGAGTATAGCATAGCCCAAAAAATCCCCCCTGAGATCAGACCCTCAAATCTCAATCTCGCCAAATCAATCCAAATCAATCCAAAT